GGTTGGGGCCGCCGGGCGGGCGGGCGGTCCGGACAAGGCCGCCGGTGGAAGGCCCGCCAACCCGTGTGTGCGTGTGTGTGCGTGTGTGTGTGTGAGTGAGAGAGGGGGGCGCCCCCGGTCGCGGCCCGGCGCCTCCCCAGGCGTCCCCTGTTGGCATCGCGACAGGCGAGAGGCGGGCGCGTGCCCAGGGCGGCCCGGCAGGAACCTCGTCCCAGGCGTTGAAATCCCGGGATGCCGCTTCCCACCCGCCCCTGTTTTTTCCTATTTTAAGTTGGATTTTTTTTCTCTGGTAAAGATGCCAGTGCAATTTGAAGGTGTTTCTGGTAGCATCACAAGAGTTGTTTGCTGGACAACTTGAAGATGCCGTTTCCAGGTTTATTCAGCCCCGGATAAATTGTTATTTAAGTGAACTCTCCATTCGTTATCCATCTCAATACTTTGAGAGCCGAGTGTGCAGGCGTAACAGTAAAAAACAGAGGAGACCAAAGTAATTTTCCCTAGCAGATTCTTTTTATTTCTGCTGCATTAAACAGGGTCTCATTTCCATTAAGATAAATAGAACTGTTCGGTTACTTTAAATATCTGAGTTTAAAAGGGCTGTGGGGTTGTTATTTCTACATAGAAAAGGAATCCTGCTAAAGGCATCCAGATACAGTTACATCTATACGATGTGCATTGTTGTAATTTTGGTGACTTTGCTATCCTTTTGCAGAGGTGCTGGCCAAGAAGTAGGAAGGTCATGCATTATTCTGGAGTTTAAAGGAAGAAAAATAATGGTAATTACTGCATAAATGTATTTGTACACCTTCTCATTACGGTACTTCAGGTCACAAAAAGATGTTATAGGTTAAATTCAGCCTCTGCACAGAAGTCAGAGACTGTGCTAGAAGAGGCACATTTTGTAGCTTTCTGGAACAAGATCGCCTGTATGATAGTCGGCATTACAGAGGCTGTCCTGTAAAATAAATCCATAAAGCCAAACAGAATATATGTATCTTTAAGTGTAGATTCTAAAATTTACACATATTAGGTCTCAGTGGAAGCTAAGGCTAATGTTTACCTACTGTTACATGTAAACAGTCACATGTAGACACATACATGTTATCTTTTGCAGCTGCCTTCTTAGATGGTGGCGAAGTAACTTGCATACACTCGTTCTGTATATGCAAGTATTGTTGAAGTGTGAATGAAGGCTTGTATAGGTACAAAATTATAGACAAAGACTGTGACCTTTTGAAAGGTGTTCAGTTACCCAGTGGAGATAAGTCACCTAGACAGAAGCCCAAGATATGAAATCCAACACTAAAAGCAGTGTTTAAGGAAAAAATGGGGGGTTTTTTGCATGATGCTAAAAGTTATCAGTCACTGGTAACTATATTTTAGATGAAAATGAAAGAGAGTTTTTTTATTAGAAGCTTTAACTTTCTTACATTTTTCAGCTTGATTGTGGAATCCATCCTGGACTGGAGGGAATGGATGCTCTTCCTTACATTGATTTGATAGATCCTGCTGAGATTGATCTCCTCTTAATTAGTCAGTAAGTTGCACGTAAAAGAACAAATATACTGAGATCGTAGTCTGAGCTGTGTTCACTTGTAGGTTGTTAAGAGAGGCTGAAAATAGGTGTTACATAAATGGTAAAGGCATGGCAAAACTTTAGTTTCCAACTTTTTTTAAATTAAGGATGTTCAGTCACTGTTGACATTATAACTCTCCTCTGAGCTCGATGTGATGTCTAACTTTTTTATAACCTGGCCTGCTTTAACACCTTTGTGACAGCTTCTAGAATGAGTTTTCTACATAAAGACTGCTGTAAAGTACTGGTTGTGGGTTTTGCTCTAGTGGCTTTGAATGTAAAAGGTTCTCAGAGACTTACACAAGCTTTGAATGTGGTTTAAATATTGCTTTGCAGCCAAGAGCTGAGGAGAGACATTTCTAAATGATTTAAGCAGTCATAACTAGGTCTGTATAAAATCCTGAGTTTTTGTGGTATGTGTTTGTTCTATCTATATTTCAAAAGTTCTTCCTTAAGATAGGTCAAAGTAGAAGTGTGGCCAAATAATTTTATTTTAGTAATTCATGTTTTAATCCGTAGCGTCCAACATGCAAACTTAGGATCATGTTTGTTAGCTTTCTTGTATCTGTGACATTTAGTGTGTTCCCGGTTCCTGTTATTTTTATCCCTCTAAATTTATATGTAGATTAAAAAAAGGTTAATTCTGAAATTATATGGGCTACACATTTGCAATTATTGGAAAATTTCCTGTATTACTCTTAGCTTTCTTGGTTGAGTTTCTAGTCGCTAGTCTGCAGAATATAGACCAGCATAGTTAATAACGAGGTTGAAAATTCTGTTTCTGGATTTTTGTGATGCTATGTTAATCCAGTGAAGTAGTGAATTATATATTACATATTAGTGTTATGTAATGTTGATGTATTAATTGGATTTGTGTGTCTATTTTAAAGTTTCCATTTAGATCACTGTGGCGCTTTACCGTGGTTTTTGCAGAAAACAAGTTTTAAAGGAAGGACGTTTATGACTCATGCCACAAAAGCTATTTACAGATGGCTTCTTTCAGACTATGTCAAAGTGAGGTAAGCTGACCCG